CCCCAAAACCCCAAAACCCCAAAACCCCAAAACCCCACAACTTCACCCAACCCATAAAAATTAACTAAATTTTTCCAAAAATGGGTTGCTGCTGTTCATCCCCAAAACCCCTCACAAGTACTTCCTTCCCTATAAATCTAGCCGTAAAAAGCCTCCATCTCCTCGAATCAGCCTCCGAAGAGACTAAGAGAATTTATGAAGAGACTGTAAGCTGGGTGGCCTGACAATGTAGGAAGAGAAACAGGAATCTGAGAGAAATATAGTTGAGGTCAGAGAAGGAGGAGGTGTAAGTAGAAAGGAGGGGTATTAGAGTTGAATGGGAAGAAGAGGACTTTTTGGGGTCTGGGGTGGAGTTAATGTTTTTTAGGGGGTTTTGGGGATGGTATGTTAGAATATTGGGCTGATTTACGTTGTGTGCTTAAATAGTCATCTCCAGAAGCTTTCTCAGCATTCAGAGATGTAAAATTTTGTGAATTATGATCTTTGGTATTCGTAGGAAATTTTAGTAAACAATTTAGAAAAATGTGCAGATCTTTTTATCAAAAGGGTTTTTTAATGTGTGAAATTATCTCTATAAAAATATCTTAATACTCTTATTAGTTAGCGAATCAATACAGCAAAGCCCTAATTGGTGTCCCAAAATGTCCCAAACTCGTTTCTTGCTTACATAAATATCTACAGACAAGCTCATAACCCTGTTTAACATCTTTAGAGTATTTGTGTAAATTTGATCTTTATGCAAGAAAATTTAAACTTTTAGTAGAATTATTTCTGTTAAATCATCAATGCGTTAGAGTAATCTTTCGATAATGATAGCGACTATGTTTTAATCATAACTTAGCCGATCCCGTCTCTTTGTAGCCTCCTTAAATTTGTATTTGAGATACATTGTGTTCAAAAGGAATAAATCTATTTTGCCACTACTCTTCTGAACTTATCGAAAGGGTTTGTGATTTAGGAGTCCGATCATACTTAAAATCCCAATCTGGCTATTACTCTTGACTTATCATTAGATTAGAAAGTTCTTTACTCTACCTATGAAGAAGATTTAGATAAGACTTTAGTCGTAATAAGAGTCTTTTCCCTAAAATTGATATTTATCCTTCCCTTGGGAATGTAGAGATGTCTGCCCCTATCTCCTTTTCTCGATGACTCTATGAAATATAGGACGCTAAAGGTTTCGGCATTGATCAGTACTACAGAATTATCAAACTCGCTTTTAAAAGTGATCTTAATTCTAAAGGAAACTGGGAGAGAATGTTCACTCTAGTTAGAAATAAGATTGAGCAAGACAAAATTTTTAGAGGATATTTCACCTATGACAATAAACTAGAAACTTATAAGTAAACTATTTTAAAAAATGTATAGGGAAATGAAGAAAAAATGTGAAAATTTTCAAACCAATACAATTAGTTCTATTTGTATTCTTCCATAATAATTTTAGTGTTGAAACTCGAGATAACAAATGATCATCCAAACATTAAACAGATCAGATTAGGATTAAGGAGGTTTTTAGATGACATGATGAAGAAATGAATCAAGAAAGACTACACACCTGTAAACCTTTCAGACTTCCTCACTGCCAAAATAGGGCTTGGAGAGTGCCCCAAGAAACTCAAGAAAGCTCTTGACTCCTCTAGCCTTCCAATCATAAGAAGAGATTGCATCAAAATCCAAAAAGTCCCAACTTTCTCTAGCAAAGGTACTAAACCTGAGTCTAAACGCCCACCTAGTAAGTCTTTTTGAATAAAGTTTTAGGCCCGGAATTATGGGAAAAATTAATGAATAGTTGAATGCAAGTAAAAGATAGATAATTTTCAATTTGAGAACCAAGGTCTGGGGTTTTGGGGTTTTGGGGTTTTGGGGTTTTGGGG